TCCGTTGGGGACTGCTATCTGATATGCTTCAGATGGAGCTTTCTCCGTACGTAACCATCCCACCCTTTGGAATGCTCTTCCTCAGAGATTCAATCGGCTCCATCTCATCTGAATTTTGGGAAAGCTGTTAGAATCTCCTTGTTCCATCTGGCACATAAAGAGGAGCTTTAATTGATGGTTGTGAACAGATTGGGTTTGTCATTTTTGTCCGTTGGTTCTTTTATCTATTTTTACAGGGTGTTTCCATACCCTAACTCTAACCCTAACCTTTTTTAAACTTTGATTTTAATCATGATGTGACTGTTAGAGGTATTGAGGATCCAGAGGCCAGCAAATAAATAGATAAGCAAACAAACAAACAAACATCCTGACAGAATATTTTTATTTAATTTATATTCCACCTATTTTTGTAAACAACTCAAGGCAGTCGACATATCCAAAATGCTTTCCTCCTCCTATTTTCCCCACAACAACAAACCTGTGAGGTGAGGCTGAGTGAGACGAACTAGTACAAAGTCACCCAGCCCACTTTCATGCATAAGGTGGGAGCAGAACTCACAGTCTCCTGAGAATTGGCCCAACATCATCCAGCTGGCTTTCATGGCTAAGACTAGAACTCACAGTCTCCTGGTGATTGGTCCAGTCACCCAATCATCTTTTGTGCCTAAGACAAGACTAGAACTCACCATCTCCTGGTTTCTAGCCTGGTGCCTTAACCCCTTGACCAAAAAATGGCTCTTGCCAAGGAGACTATATGGATGTAGACATGGAATTACTAGGTGCTGAGTTATACCTAGCAGGCGGGGTACCCATGTTTACATTCAATGCATTTTTCCTCAACTTTCCATAAACAACATCAAGGGTACAGCATGTGGCTCCTCGGACGGGGTCTGTCATATAATCCCTAAAGTTAAACAGAAATCTTTAGCATGTGGAAAATTGTGTGTATATATGTATGTCTTGTGTGGTGTATGTTGTCCCTCAATGCCAGCTGAGCACTGCTGTTTTGAAAGAGGAAGGAAGTCATTTAAAACATGGTTTTTGATTTTTCCCATGTGGGTAATTCTATGAAGAAAGAGAGAGGAGGAGGAGGAGGAGGAGGAGGAGGAGGAGGAGACAGGGAGTTCTGCGAAGAAAGTTTTGGAGAATCAGTCAACATGGGACTTGAATCTTGGAAATGAAACAAAAAGTATTTTTCCCCCTGGGAGGGTTGAAATGAGGAATAACTGTAGGAACCTATGGTCTTTATGAAAAGCCCCAGTTGTTTACCCATTTTTCTTGCTTACAAATCACGCGTTGCTAACTGGAGAGAAGAGGATTACATAAGGTCAGAATAATTTAGAGCTTCGAAAGGAAATTCTTCTTGTTTTACTGAAGTTTCTGGTTCTGGGGGTAGGAGTGGGGGAATTACATCTGGTCCAGATTTCAACATCTCACAGCTGCTTTGGGATAGGATCGCTAGGAATGCAACTTTATTTTAGAGAAATAAAGTAAGTTAATTTGCAAATGTAAGTAGGTTGTATAACACAGTTGAGTAGATTTCTACTCCTTGGACCCGTTTGCATGCCAAGCCTTGTCAAATGCTATGTAGGAAACATTTTGGGGGTCCACAGACATGACCTTCTCAAAATATCTCTAGGCCACAAGCACTGTGGTCTTTGTGGTTAAACATGGATTTTAATATAATAAGACTTAGGCTGGGGATTTTCCCAAAACCAACCACCAAGTTCTGCTAAATGGTAGCATTATTACAAATGGAAACTCTGGGTTTTTCCATAAGGTTTTACTAACTCCTTTCGAGATGTTCTGATGTTCTCCATAGTCAATTCACCCCAAAAATGATAGAGAATGAGCCGTGTTGTGATTATGGAATTATATAGGCCCAGATTAAAAGTTGTTCACTCAAATACTGGGTGTTAGAAAAGAACTGTCAATTCTTCTAACAATAAAAGGTAAAGGTAAAGGTTCCCCTCACATATATGTGCTAGTCGTTCCTGACTCTAGGGGGCGGTGCTCATCTCCGTTTCAAAGCCGAAGAGCCAGTGCTGTCCGAAGACGTCTCCGTGGTCATGTGGCCGGCATGACTCAACGCCAAAGGCGCACAGAACGCTGTTCCCTTCCCACCAAAGATGGTCCCTATTTTTCTACTTGCATTTTTTACCTGCTTTCGAACTGCTAGGTTGGCAGAAGCTGGGACAAGTCACGGGAGCTCACCCCATTATGCGGCCCTAGGGATTTGAACCGCTGAACTGCCGACCTTTCGATCGACAATAAAATATTATTCTATTCTATTCTATAATATTATATATAAGAGAAGAGAATATTTGCAGCTCGGGGTTGAACTGTGGGGTCCTTGGTGGTCTCTGGGTTGATGGCTTTCTTGCAGACGTTTCATTACCCAACTAGGTAAAATCAACAGTGCTAGAAGAAGTGGGGTTTACTACTCTCTGTTTATATACAAGTATATTAACACTTTTGGTACCAACACTAACAGGGCAAGTCTCAACACCTTTTTTTCTGTCATCGTGACCAGAACTGGATGCCATATTCCAAGTGTTGTGTTGTCACTAGTGCAGTGTAAAACAGTAGTAACACTAGACAATCATGTATCTGGCTCCAGTTACCTATGGCTTGAGCAAATATCTGAAGAGTCCTAAATGCCAGCTTCCTTGGATCTTGAGAGATGCACTGGCCAGTAGCTGGATTAGATGATTTCTGAGGTCATTTGGACTCCACAATTCTATGATTTTTAGGATGTATGGACCCCAGCATTTGCCTGAATGTCCTAGTGCTTACACTAACAGAATAACAGAGTTGGAAGGGACCTTGGAGGTCTTCTAGTCCAACTCTCTGCTCAACCCTATACCATTTCAGACAAATGGTTGTCTAATCTCTTCTTCGGTGTTGGAGCACCCATAACTTCTGAAGGCAAGCCATTCCACTAATTAATAATTCTGCCAGGGAATTTCTCCTTAGTTCTAGACTGGTTCTCTCCTTGATTAGTCTTCATCCATTGCTTCTTGTCCTGCCTTCAGGTGCCTTGAAGAGTAGGTTGACTCCCATCTTCTTTGAGGAAGCTCCTGAGATGTTGGAACACAGCTAACATGTCACCCCTAGTCCTTCTTTTCATTAAATTAGACATACCCAATTCCTGCAACTGTTCTTCATATGTTTTAGCCTCCGGGACCCTAAACCGTCCAAACCATCATGTAGTGACACAAGCCGAATCCACCTTCCAGTGCTGCATTAACCATAATCTCCTTGGCACTTGTTGTGGCCTGCCAGCAGCCCACGGAGCTAGAAGCGGAGTCAGACAGTGAAGAGGCTGGGGAGGACCATGGGCCAGTCCTGGAGTCTGGGGAAGGCCCAGACAAGGGCTCTGGGTCGAAGGCCGAGATGGAGCCAGCGCCACCTGGGAGTAATGCACGGACTCCGGAGCCTCTAGAGTCGGACAGCAGAGAGACAGAGGAACATGAGGAGCCTGTTCCTAGTGCCCGCATGCGCAGAGCTGCCAGAAGGCAGGAGCAGCTAAAGCAAAAAGGACGACTCGGGAGTAAGGCCAGGAGATGATTGGCCCCTCCCATAAGACTTAAAAGAGCAGCAAAGGCTCTTGGGCTCTTTGTAGGAAAGCAGCGTTGCTAAATCTGTTTTCCAATCGGCGTCTCTTGTTTCTGAACTTCGTGGGTGGGGCTTTGCCCGAATAGTCGTCTGGACTATTGTAATGGTCTCTACATGGGGCTCCCCTTGAGGTGCACTCGGAGGCTCCAACTGGCACAGAGTGCGGCCGCGCGAGTGGTTATGGGAGCAACGTGGAGTTCCCATGTAACACCTCTCCTGCGCGAGCTACACTGGCTCCCGGTGGTCTTCCGAGTGTGCTTCAAGGTTCTGGTTATCACCTTTAAAGTGCTCCATGGCTTAGGACCTGGTTATCTACAGGACCACCTGCTACCACCAATAGCCTCCCACCAGCCAGTACGCTCCCATAGAGAGGGGCTCCTCCGGGTGCCGTCGGCCAAACAATGTCGACTGGCGGCCCCCAGGGGGAGAGCCTTCTCTGTGGGGGCACCTACGATCTGGAACGAGCTCCCCCCGGAGATACGGAGGATCCTGGATCTGCGCACCTTCCGTCGCGCGCTTAAGACTTTTTTATTTCATCAAGCTGGCCTGGCCTAAATCTTCTCCCTTTTAAATATAAATTTTAATTTGTTTTAAATTATGGGGTATTTTAAATTCAGCCAAATTATTTAATTCGTTTTTAATCTATTTTAAATTTTTTATATTTATGTGTTTTAGCTTGTGGCTGTTCACCGCCCCGAGTCCTTCGGGAGAAGGGCGGTATAGAAATTTAATAAAATAAATAAATAAGAGCCTTGGTAGTACAGGGTTTTAAGGCACCCTGATTAAGCTGGTTATTAAGACCAGCTGCTTGCAATTACTGCAGGGTTCGAATCTCGCCAAGGCTCATGGTTGACTCAGCCTTCCATCCTTTCTAAGGTAGGTGAAATGAGGACCCAGTTTGTGGGGGCAATAAGCTGACTTTGTATAAATATACAAAAGGATGAAGGCTATTGCTGAGCACATTGTAAGCCGCCCTGAGTCTTCGGAGAAGGGCGGCATATAAATCAAATTTTAAAAAAATTAAAAAAAAATAAAATAAATTTGCCAAGAAAGGCCTTTAGCAGGGTGCCAAAGCAGATAAAGGTTTGTGATAAGCCCGAAGGACTTTTTCTGAAGGACTTGTTTTAGAATTAATTTGGACTAAACTGGGAATGAAGTCATTCTCAGCTGTTATAATAAAATCGTTTTGTTTGAGACTAATTGTGTCCTGTAATGACTTAAGTGAGCCTAGGTCACAACAGGACTAATAATTTCCCCCCACCTTTGCATTCTCAGACAGCTTTTGCTCAGAAGGAAAGGCAAGCATGTGTTCTCATGAATGAATAGCTGGGCAGATCAGGTTGTCACAACAACCAATCCCAAACACACCACGGTCTCCTGCGTGCCTCTGGGAACACAATCGAGTTGTCGCCTCTCCCGCAGAATTAAAGCCCACTGCTAGATGCAGACTTAGAAAGGTGCGAGCCGCCCAATCGCAAAACAACATTTCCAGACAATATTTGCACTGTTGGTGTGGACGCGGATGCCAGATCACACCTCTGCTTTTCGCTGCTGGTATGTTTCTTTTTTATAACTTCAGCGACAAATGTCAAGGATGGTAGCTCTAAATATATTTGTCTGAGAACAAGGTCCAAGAGGTAGAAATAATTGGATTTGTGCGGCAGCCATCCTAGGGGGGAACACAGTATGATATTATTCTGTTAAAAAACAAAAGCAAAATAGCATCTTTGTTTAATTGAATAAGCTTTGGTATAAAGTTTATTTATTTGTATTTATTTATTTATCCGTCCTTAACATGGACTGTGTCACGTTCACAGGAAGAGAGATGGCCTCGTTTCTCGGTCCAGTATTAAGCTGCGCAGAGATCAGCTGGGGATGCCTAGAAAAATTCATCTGATGTATAACTACCACTTTGTCAACTGTTTTAAAAGAATCACCAGAATCAGCAATCTCCCCAAATTGAATGTGCCGTTTTTAATGAATATAACTTATTTTTAAGCATACTTACGGGATTAAGAATGAGTATGAAAATAGAACTGTAATGATAATGTTGTTGTTGTTGATAGTTGCGAAGTTGTGTCCGATCCCATGGACAACATTCCTCCAGGCCTTCCTGTCTTCTACCATCCTCTGGAGTCCATTTAGGCTCATGCCGACTGCTTCAGTGACTCCATCCAGCCACCTCATTCTCTGCCGTCCCCTTCTTCTTTTGCCCTCCATCGTTCCCAGCATTAGGCTCTTCTCCAATGAGTCCTTCCTTCTCATTAGGTGGCCAAAGTATTTGAGTTTCACCTTCAGGATCTGGCCTTCTAAAGAGCAGTCAGGGTTGATCTCCTCTAGGACTGACCGGTTGGATGGCCTTGCAGTCCAAGGGACTCGCAGGAGTCTTCTCCAGCACCAGAGTTCAAAGGCCTCCATTCTTTGGCGCTCAGCCTTCCTTATGGTTCAACTTTCACAGCCATACATTGCAACTGGGAAAACCATAGCCTTGACTATACGCACTTTTGTTGGCAGGGTGATGTCTCTGCTTTTTAGTATGCTGTCTAACTTTGCCATAGCTTTCCTCCCCAGGAGCAAGCCTCTTTTAATTTCTTGGCTGCAGTCCCCATCTGCGGTGATCTTGGAGCCCAGGAAAATAAAATCTGTCGCTACCTCCATTGCTTCCCCATTTATGATAATATCACTATGAAACTAATGAAAGGGCTTTACCTTTACTTCAAATTATTCCCCCTTCTTCATCCTCCCCCCCTCCTCCTTTCGCTTTTATGTTATTACTCTGGTGTTACAAACACTTTGTGGGAACTAGAATGAGCTTGTTAGGCGCAAAAGAGGAATAAGAATCATACCGAAAAGTTCCCTAATATAATACTTGCATTTTTTTCTGAGCAAAAGCACCTCTCTTGATACACAGCGCAGCGATGCTGCCACTACTTAATAAAACCTTTTTTTTTAAACCAAGGATGATAGGAAATACAGCAATTACATTTTTGTTGAGCTCATTTTTGGGAAGAAAAAGGAGAAAATAAATAAAGCGTTGTAGGAAAAGTAGTTGACTTTTAGGAGTGACCGTCTATGGAGACGCTACATCAGAGTGTACCCCCCAAAATACTATCCAAACAGCATCTGTTCTGTGCCTATCAGGGTCTACTAGAGGGAGTAGGGCTGTCCCCATTTTTTCCCCCTATCTTTGGAGTATTTTGCGTGGGAGGGGAGGAAGAAAATGGCATTGCTTTAGTTTTACTCTGCAAATCCCCTGATGCCATCCGAAGCCAACAGAAGCTGCATTCCTGGTCCTCCAGAGGCTGAAAACATCTGGCGTGAATAAATTGCAATTATGAACCTAAGCCAAGAAGCTTTTCTCAACACAGATGTAAAATCCGTGACGGAGGACAGCAGCGTTGTCTGCTTGGTGTGGGTGGCTCAGACGATTTCAGATATTGCAAGGTCAGCCAAACCAAGGGATAACCCCTGTGGCTATTTTTTTTTTTTCAGCTCTTGAAGGTGAAGACATGCCTTTCCAATTTTTTCAACGGCACGGTGCTCCCAAATCCAGATTCTCTGGTTCCTTGAACGGTCAACACTGGCGCTTTCTGAGGAGCAATTTGGATTATTCCAGAGAGGCCTTCCCTCTTTCAGGTGAGAGCATCCTTACCCAGCCAGAAAAAGGACCCAGCCATCTTCTTCTCTCCGAGAAACCGAAGAATCTTCTCCGAGCATCCCAGAGATCCAGAAAGAGGCTATCGGAGCCACAGAGCTACACTTCGAAGCTCAGCCTGATGAGCCAATCCCAAAAGGACCACGTTGCTCAAGTTGAATACTGCCTCAGCCAACACCCCTTAGCCCTCTACCCAAATTTTGAAGAAAGCATTCCTGCAGAGGTGAGAACATGTATTTCTGCCCATGTTTTTTTTTTTTTACAAAGATCTTTCAATAGTAGTTACAGTTGTCACATTTGAGCACTGATGATGTTGCCTAGGTTGGTAATGAAATGTCTGTAAGAAAACACCCAAGCTCAGAGAGCACCAAGAACCCCACAGTCTTCCTCCTTCTCCTCCTCTTCCTCTCCACAAACACCACTCCGTTCTAATACTGATGAAGTTACCCAGTCTGGTAGTGAAATGCCCGCAAGAAAACAGCCAAACGCAGAGGACGCCAAGGACCCCTCATTTCAATCCTGAGTTACAAATATTCTCCTTTATTGGAGTCACATTTCCACTGTTGAATTTAAAACAGTGTTTCTCAACCTTGGATACTTCAGCTCCCAGGATTCCCTAGTCAGCAAGCAAACTGGTTGTAGAATTCTGGGAGTTGAAGTCCACACATCGTCAAGTAGCCAAGACTGAGAAACACTCTTCTAACATTGTCTCGGCCCGTCTCCACACTTATTGGGCTCCAAATCTTTAAAAGTACCATGTTTCCCCGACAATAAGACCCTGTCTTATATTTTTTTGAACCCTGAAATAAGCGCTTGGCCTTATTTTCGGAGAGGTCTTATTATTTTGGGGCGTGTGGAGCAAGATGGGCTCCTTTTGCCATCTTACCTGATTTCCAGCTCTGTCTCCCTAACCCTAACCAGAGGAAATGGCAGGGACCTGTTGTGCATGCAGTTAAATATTTTCGGGGAAGGCTTATTTTCAGGGAGGGTTTATTTTCACGCATGTGCTCAAAAGCCCGATTGGGCTTATTATCCGGGGAGGTCTTATTTTCAAAGAAACAGGGTACATTTTGTGGGGTGGAAATTTTGGGTGCTTGGGCAATAAAGAATGTAAAGTAAAGGTTCCCCTCGCACATATGTGCTAGTCGTTCCCGACTCTAGGGGGCAGTGCTCATCTCCGTTTCAAAGCCGAAGAGCCAGCGCTGTCCGAAGACGTCTCCGTGGTCATGTGGCCGGCATGACTCAACGCCAAAGGCGCACGGAACGCTGTTACCTTCCCACCAAAGGTGGCCCCTATTTTTCTACTGGCATTTTTTACCTGCTTTCGAACTGCTAGGTTGGCAGAAGCTGGGACAAGTAACGGGAGCTCACCCCGTTACGCAGCACTGGGGATTCGAACCGCTGAACTGCCGACCTTTTGATCGACAAGCTCAGCATCTTAGCCACTGAGCCAGCGTGTCCCTATATATCTGGAGTCTAATGACCTGACCCCCTAATCATTTTTACTAAAGACTATATTTAATTTATAATTATACTAAGTGGTTTTTTTTTTCTGCCAAGAGAATTCTCAGGATTTATGACTCATAATAAATCATAAAGAGCTGTTCTGGCAGGCATTTGAATAGACAGAGAGCTCCATTTATGGCAGCAAAGAAAATCCCTTGACTCGGTGCACGAATGACATTAACTTGGAGTTCTCGGGGTAAATTCCCAGATGGATTTTTTCTTTTAAAAAAAGAAAGTTGCTTGACAAGAAAGAGAAACTAAGTGTTGCTTTCTAATTGCTGATTTGCTGGTTTATCAGACCAAGGGCATCTTTGCAGGAAAAGAAGGACTAGGGGTGACATGATAGCAGTCTTCCAATATCTCAGGGGCTGCCACAAAGAAGAGGGAGTCAAGCTATTCTCCAAAGCACCTGAGGGCAGGACAAGAAGCAATGCGTGGAAACTGATCAAGGAGAGAACAAACCTAGAACTAAGGAGAAATGTCCTGACAATGGAAAAATTAATCAGTGGAACAGCTTGCTTCCAGAAGTTGTGAGTGCTCCAACATTGGAGGTTTTTAAGAAGAGATTGGATGACCATTTGTCTGAAGAGGTGTAGGATCTCCTGCTCAAGAAGGGGGTTGGACTAGAAGACCTCCAAGGTCCCATACAAATCTCTTATTCTGTTATTGAGGTGTAAAATTGAAGTCTGGAGGATAGTGAGGGAGACAAGAAGGGAAAGTAAAGGAAAAGGCTCAGTGGCATCTCGTGGAGGGGGTCAAAGTGCTGTAACCACAGCACTTTTATTTATTTTATTTATTTTTTATTTATTTTATTTTGTCAAGCATGTATTTTATGAATTATTATTATTATTAATTAATTAATTAATTAATTAATTAATTAATTAATTGAATTTGTATACCGCCCTACTCCCGAAGGACTCAGGGCGGTGAACAGCCAAATAAAATGCATATAATACAAATGTTAAAAAACCATTAAAATACAATTAAATAATTGGCCCGGAAAACGAAATTTAAAACACCCCAAATTCATAAGACAAATTTAAAATGGAAGAATTTTAAAAATTTTAAAAAGTTTAAAAGAGAGGTTAGGCCAGGCCGACCTGCTGGAAAAGAAATGTTTTGATGGCACGGCGGAAAGCGTGCAGGTCCGGGATCCTCCGTATCTCCGGGGGGAGCTCGTTCCAGATGGCGGGTGCCCCCACAGAGAAGGCACTCCCCCTGGGGGCCGCCAGTTGACGTTGTTTGGCCGACGGCACCCTGAGGAGCCCCTCTCTATGGGAGCGTACTGGTCGGTGAGAGGCTACTGGTGGCAGAAGGCGGTCTCGTAAGTACCCCGGTCCTAAGCCATGGAGCGCTCTAAAGGTGGTAATCAAAACCTTGAAGCGCACCCGGAAGACCACCGAGAGCCAGTGCAGCTTGCGCAGGAGGGGGGGTCACATGGGAGCGCCCCGTCACTCCCATAACCACCCATGTGGCCGCATTCTGGACCAGCTGGAGCCTCCGGGTGCTCCTCAAGGGGAGCCCCATGTAGAGAGCATTACAGTAGAGAGAGATACAGGTGTAAACATAATTATAAATACATGAAAAGGATACGAATAAATGGGGACATTACGACAGGGACATAAGGCACAGTGGTGCGCTTAGGAATGGGGTGAGGTCTGCAGTAGACAGTTTAAGGTTAAAGTTTTGGGGATTTGGGGAAGAAACCACAGAGTCAGGTAGTGCATTCCAGGCATTGAGCCCTCTGTTACTAAAGTCATATTTTCTGCAATCGGGTTTGAAACGGTTTACCTTGAGTTTGTATCTATTGTGTGGTCTTGTATTGTTTTGGTTGAAGCACTGTAAACAGGTAAGTACCCTTTTGTAGGTACATGTGTTGGCATTGCCCACATACAGGTAGTTCTCAACCTACAACCATTCATTCGAACCTACAATGGTACTGAAAAACGGAATTATAGCCGTTTTCCATACTTAGGGCCCTTGCAGCGTCCCCATGGTCACCTGATCAAAATTCAAACGCTTACCAACTGGCATGTACTTATGACAGTTGTAGTGTCTTGGGTTCATGTGAAACCCTTTTGAGACTTTCTGACAAGCAAACTTGTGGGGTTCACCCCACAAGTCATGTTACAAACTGCAGTGATTTAACTGAATAATTGTGGCGTGAAAGGTCGTAAAATGGGGGCAAATCTCACTTCACAACTGTCTTAGCAATGGAAAATATGGGACCAATTGTGTGGTTATAAGTGTGTATAATTAGGATGGGAATAGAATAGAAGAGTTCAAAGGGACCTTCGAGGTCTTCTAGTCCAACCCCCTGCTCAGGCAGGAAACCCTATATCATTTCAGACAAATGGTTGTACAGTGTCTGTACAACCAACTCCAACTCCAGTGTTGGAGCATTCACAACTTCTGGAGGCACGTTGTTCCACTGATTAATTGATCTAACTGTCAGGAAATTTCTCCTTAGTTCTAAGTTGCTTCTCTCCTTGCTTAGTTTCCACCCATTGCTTCTTGTCCTGCCCTCAGGTGCTTTGGAGAATAGCTTGACCCCCTCTTCTTTGTGGCAGCCCCTGAGATATCAGAACACTGCTATCATGTCACAATGGCGATGCTGAATGTTGCAATGCTGAATGCATGGGGGCAGGGCGATGCTCCCCCTGCCCCCATGCCTGTGCGACCCCTCCACCCACCCACCCCCGTTTTGGGCCTAGGAGGCCTCCCTGCAGCCTCCTGGGCCTAAAAAAGGAGCGTGGGGGAGGGTGCGCATTGCACACACACCCACACCTCGTTTTGGGCCTAGAAGGCCTCTCTGCAGCCTCCTGGGCCTAAAAACGGATCCTGAGGGGGAGGGGGCGCCGCCCCCCCCATGCATGCATGTAACCCCTCTGTACATGCGCACGCATCTCCCGCATGTTGCTCTCCTCCCAAAATCAGCTGGCCGGAGTAGGCGAGTGTCCATGCGCTGTGGAGCTGACCTGGCCGACGGCTCGCAGGCCCGCAGAAAGGACTCCGTGTGGCAGCTGTGGCACACATGCTATAGGTTCGCCATCACAGGTGTAGGGTGTGTGTAGGTATGTATTGGTGTGAACAGTCAGTCCCGCTGGGAGACTTTATTTAATTCACTCTATTTGTGTTTGCAGACCTTATCCTTTGATATGCAGATTGGGTCTGGGGGTGGGTTGGAGGCTTGAGGAAGTTTGAGTAAAGGGCTTTTCCCCCATTCGCTGTTTTCACTTGATTCATTTAGTTTCAGCGCGACTGTCAATCATCTAGTGGGGACGCCCGTTTCTCAGTCCATTGTGGATGGAGTCTGTTGATGTTTTAAACGAAGATGGAAACAGTATATAAAGAATAAAAAATCTGTTTTGCATAGAAAACGTCTCACAAAATCCAGATCCTCCTGCGGGGAAAACACTTGTAACCCTTCCAAACAATTCGACCTCCAGGATGAGTCGAGGTCACAGTTTCCTTTAAAAGCCAGGATGAAGCGAGGCTTTTGCGAAATTTTATCTCTGTTCCAGGGAAGTTCAGAGACCCCTTCGGGAAGTTGCAAACTTTGTAACATTTGCCACACAACCCTTGCTATCTCTGAGCTGATACGGGGAGGGTGGATTCTCTCCCCTGAGTTCAACAAGGATAGGAAATTCCCCGTATTTATCTCCTCCGCCTAAAAGGAGTAATAAGCGAGGGGATTTTCGCTGTTATTACAATTCAAAGTACGAGAGAAAAGGCCGCCACTGTTTTTCAGCTAAATAAACAGAAAAACAGCATCCGGACCTCCGTTCTTGGCACATCTTGTACTCCAGACAGAAGTGGTATTTACTCCAGCTAGCATGTTCCTGATTTTGAGGCCGAGGCTTTCGTTGCCTCCTCTTCACAAAGGAGTCCTTCCTTTTTTTTTTTAGGCCTGTTCCAGAATTTTCCAGTTTGCTGATGATGAGGGTTGGTTTCGGATTATCTGGAAGCATTTGTCTCGGCCCCTGACCAGTTTCCACAGGAGAGAGAGAGGTTAATCAGGTGCAAGAATCTGGCTGGCCTTGGGTGTCTCTTGGCAATTGGTCTGGAGCCAGACTTGGGTGACATATTTAGGTTCACAGAGTTCTTTTCTTTTCTTTTTTCTTTTCTTTTCTTTTCTTTTCTTTTCTTTTCTTTTCCTTTCCTTTCTTTTCTTTTCCTTTCCTTTCCTTCATTCCTTTCTTTCCTTTCCCCTTCTTTCCCTTTCTTTTCTTTTCTTTCTTTCCCTTCTTTCCTTCCTCCCCTCCCCTTGTTTTTTCCTTCCTTCCTTCCCCTTCCCTTCCTTTCCCTTCTTTCCCTCCTTCCTTTCTTTCCTCCCCTCCCTTTTTCCTTCCTTCCCCTCCCTTTCCTTTCCCTTCCTTCCTTCCTTCCCCTTTCTTTCCCTTCTTTCCTTTCCTTCCTCCCTCCCCACTCCTCCTTTTTTCCTTCTTCCTTCCTTCCTTCCTTTCCCTTCCTTTTCCCTTCTTTCCTTTCCTTCCTCTCCTCCCCTCCCCTCCTTTTTTCCTTTCTTCCTTTCCCCTTCCTTCCTTCCCCTTTCTTTCCCTTCTTTCCTTTCCTTCCTCCCCTCCCCTCCCCTCCCCACTCCTCCTTATTTCCTTCTTTCTTTCCTTCCTTTCCCTTCCTTTTCCCTTCTTTCCTTTCCTTTCCTTCTTCCCCTCCCCTCTCCTCCTTTTTTCCTTTCTTCCTTCCTCCCTTTCCCTCCCTTTCCTTTCCTTTCTTTCCTCCCCTCTCCTCCTTTTTTCCTTTCCTTTCCTTTCCTTTCCTTTCCTTTCCTTTCCTTCCCCTCCCTTTCCTTTCCTTCCTTCCTTTCCTCCCCTCCCCGCCCTGCCCTGCCCTTCCCAGCTTTTCAAGGAAGTCATGAGCATCCTGGACCCAGAGGTGCTTCCTACCGACCAAGAACCTGATGCCAGCCTTGGTGGAGAACCCTGCCCTCCTCCTACGATCCCTTCCCTCCTGGAAGACAAAAGGAACAGACAAGCAAGGGCCCCACAGGCCAAACGGTGAGTGCCGGGCCACGGATAATGCATCACAAATCATGACATCAACTACCATGAGCACCTACCACAGGGCCTGCATTTCCACAATATGCAAGCCATAACCAAGGTACTCGGGCGGTGGCACCATGGCATATCCCAACCCAACCCAGCAGGGGTAGGTTCTACTTACCTTTACTACCGGTTCGCAATGGGACCGCATGCGCAGAAGCTTCCTGACGACGTCCGGGGTCGGTGGGCGGAGCCTCCCGCTGGTTTTACTACTGGTTCTATAGAACCCGTGCGAACCGGGGGGGGGGGCAACCCACCACCGCTTCAGACAAATGGTTATCCAAAATCTTCTTAAAGACTTCCAGTGTTGGAGCACTCACAACTTCTGGAGGCCAGCTTTTTGGAGATTTGGTAATCCATTCAGAAAGACTGAGTCAGACAGAAACTCCAGATAAGCGATTAGGCAAGCCAAAAGGATTGGGAGGATTAGCTCAGATGAGCACCTAGGATTTGCATTTCCCCTTTTGCCTATAGAGCCAGCCATGACCCCACAAGAATCTGATAACAGCCGATAGAACATTAAAGGACATGTTAGAATAGAATTAGAATAACAGAGTTGGAAGGGACCTTGGAGGTCTTCTAGTCCAACCCCGTTTAGGCAGGAAACCCTACACCACTTCAGACAAATGGTTATCCAACATCTTCTTAAAAACTTCCAGTGTTGGAGCATTCACAACTTCTGGAGGCAAGAGTTCCACTGGTTAATTGTTCTAACTGTCAGGAAATTTCTCCTTAGTTCTAAGTTGCTTCTCTCCTTGATTAGTTTCCACCCGTTGCTTCTTGTCCTGCCTTTCAGGTGCTTTGGAGAATAGCTTGACTTGAAATAAAAGCTGGTTACCCAAATTTTGCCGGGAACAGTTGTAAATGTGAGAACTTCACTTGTTTCAGGCTAAAGAAATTATAATAAACCGAGAATTATCTATATATGTATAATTTTCTCTCCAATACACTGACATCTGCTTGACTCCTGACTGCCACCTTGTGGTGATATGTTGATCAACAGTTTTCAGAGCCTTCTAGTTAGTATCTTTGAGGAACATAAACGCCACACTTCCCCAAATATCTGGTTTGTTTCTTACTATTCATTCAAACTAAACAAACCAGGAAAGCTAAACAAGGTTAGCTGTTTGGTCAGCTGTCCCAGAACCACATGCTGTTGGTGATTCTGCTTCATCAATAAACCAACTTTCTTTCCAATCAGCCTCCATTTTATTCCCGGCTTGGAACTGGACCGAGGATTTTTCTTCCTACACTACCATCTTGAAGCTCTGGATTGGTCCCCACAGAATCCTTTGGTTATTGTACTTAGGAAAAATAACTTATTAATAAATAATAATAATAAAATAATAATAAAATAATAATAATAATAATAATAATAATAATAATAATAATAATAATAATAATAATAATAATAATAATAATAAAGAAATCGTGTGTTGTGGTGTCCCGATTGTAATTGGAGCCCTTGGAGCAATACCCAAAGGGCTACCCCACTATTTAGAAATTCTAAATTTGCCGGACTTGAACATTTTGACTCTACAAAAAACCACCTTACTCAGAACAGCTTACATCCTCCGACGATACCTTAACAGTTCCTAGGTCCTTGGTTAGGACTCGAGCTGCTGAGCTATTAACCAGCCTCAAAGGCTGTGAATCTCACTAAAGATTAACTACTACTACTACTACTACTACTACTAATAATAATAATAATAATAATAATAATAATAATAATAATAAATATTAATAAGGGCCTAGTGGCTCAGCAGACTAAAAGCATTGTGATTAACACCAGCTGCCTGCAATTACTGTAAGTTCAAATCTCTCCAAGGCTCAAGGTTGACTCAGCCTTCCATCCTTTCTAAGGTAGGTGAAATGAAGACCCAGTTTGTGGGGGCAATAAGCTGACTTTGTATAAATATACAAAAGTATGAAGGCTATTGCTTAACACACTGTAAGCCACCCTGAGTCTCCGGAGAAGGGCGGCATATAAATCAAATTAAAATTAAATTAAATTTTTAAAAATATTCAGTGATTTTAATTAGTCCCATCAGAGCAGATATAATAAGGCTGTAGTTTCGTGCTTAGACGGGGAAAACATCTTATTAAACATCATGGGGTTTGCTGTTTGATCAATATGGATGTGTAAATCTTTCTTTACAGCAAGGATCCAGGAAACAAAGCTCCGTACACCTGGTTCTCCCCCACAAAAGTAGCAGCAAGAGAATTGAAAGCCAGGTTGAATTACGTCCCTCCTCTCGACGAGAATATCAAGCGAGCCACCAAAGAACTTTGCGATGGATTCAATTCTCTAGTAAGTCAAACAATTTCTGTGTCAATTTCTCAAGCTTGGCCCCTTTAAGACATGTGGACTTCAACTCCCAGAATTGGCTGACTGGGGGATTCTGGGAGTTGAAGTCCACCTACCTTAAAGAGGACAAGCCAGTGGTGAATTCTGAACCGGTTGTGGTCATAAGACAAGGACGACCTGCGAGTCAAACCATTTCACAGAATGAAATACCTCTTTTGCTGGATAAAAATTAGAGGTGGTATTCAGTCGGTTCGCACCGGTTCGGGCGAATTGGTAGCGGCGATCACAGGTGGGCCCACCCGGCCCCACCCCGCCCCGCCCCGGCTCTATGCCTTCCTATTTAGCCACGTTTTCGAGGCTGGGCGCATGTGTGGAAGGCACGCCCACGAGCAAAGCCCATGCACAGAAGGCCAGGCGCATGCAAAAAAGGTGTGCATGTGCCAAAGTGAACATTCGCACGCGGGACGAACCGGTGGGAACAATATATGAAACCCACTTCTGATAAAAATGATGTGCCTGTTGGATACTTGCGCTTTTGATTTTGAGTTCCTATTATGGGAGCGACGTGGCGCTCTCATGTGACCCCCCTCCTGCGCGAGCTGCACTGGCTCCCGGTGGTCTTCCGGGTGCGCTTCAAGGTTTTGGTTACCACCTTTAGAGCGCTCCATGGCATCAGACCGAGGTATCTACGAGACCGCCTTCTGCTACCAATAGCCTCCCACCAACCAGTACGCTCCCATAGAGAGGGGCTCCTCAGGGTGCCGTCGGCCAAACAGTGTCGACTGGCGGCCCCCAGGGGGAGAGCCTTCTCTGTGGGGGCACCTACCATCTGGAATGAGCTCCCCCCCAGAGATACGGAAGATCCCGGACCTGCGCACGTTTCGCCGTGCTCTCAAAACTTTTCTATTTCAGCAAGCTGGCCTTGCCTAACTCCCATCTTTTAAATTTTTAAATTTAAATTTTTTAATTCGTGATTTTATAAATTGGGTGTTTTAATCTGTGTTTCGGCCAAAATATTTAATAATTTAAGGGATTTTTTAATATTTGTATTATCTGTATTTTATCTTGGCTGTTCACCGCCCTGAGTCCTTCGGGAGTAGGGCGGTATAGAAATTTGATTAATAAATAATAAATAAATAAATATTTCAGGGAGGGGAGAAGTACAGCGTAGATGAGGACACCGTTCTAAGTATGTTTGATGCGGCTTACGAGACCACCCTCCCGATGTTTCACCCGCTGCGTGTTGAGGAACTCCGTGATCTACCCATGGACCTGAAGAAGCATTTTGGGATGCTACCTTCTCGAGCTCTTAGAAAGAATCAGGATATTAAGCCTTCTAAGGTGGGTGACCTCTAACATCCAAGTACACGGGGCTGTGAATGAAGATTTCATTTTCATTTTTCATTTTTTTTTCATTTTATTAAATTTGTATACCGCCCTACTCCCGAAGGACTCAGGGCGGTGAACAGCCATAAAATAAAACATATAGATACAAAATTTAAAATAGAGATAAAACTAATTAAATAAATTTGGCTGAACCATTTTAAAACCCCAATAAATTAAAACCAATTTAAAATTCCATTTAAAAAGAGGAAAAATTTAGGTCAGGCCAGCTTGATGGAATAAGAACGTCTTAAGCGCGCGACGGAAGGTACGCAGATCCGGAATCCTCCGTATCTCCGGGGGGAGCTCGTTCCAGATCGTAGGTGCCCTAAGATTGTTTGGTAAGCCTTGACTTTTGTTTAGAAGAACCGAAGACTTTTCGCTTGCAGAGAAAAAACAGAGATACTTCATATAGAGAATCCTTGATTTACAAGTGGTACGTTATGATCAGAGGTGGTATTCAGCCGGTTCGTACTGGTTCGTACGAACTGGTAGCGGAAATCTGCCTTCGCTCTATGTCATCCCATTTAGTCACGTTAGTGAGGCCTGATAGGGCCCGTGTGAACGAAGCGAGTGACCATGCACGCGCACTCACATTTGTGAACTGGTAGGAAGGTAGGTGAATATCACCCCGGTTATGATGTACCTTCTAGAGTTCCTATGACCTAGTTTCAAAGTTCCAATGGCTAGGGCCACCCTGCGGTCATGTGATCACATCACTGTCTTGCATTTATGGCCTTTTGTCCTGTGGTCACATGACTAAGATTTATGATGTTTCTTTGCTGTACACCAACATTTATTTCTAGCCAAAAAAAAAAAAACCCAATGGATACAACGGACTCATTTAGCAACCGCAGTGTTTGCTTTGCCCTGCTTAATGACTGAAAGTCTGTAGAGATTCTCCGTCATCCAGGTCATGGTTTGTCCCAAAGGTGCTTTTTTCAGGAGGCAACTGGACTTTCTTTCTTTTTTTTTCTTCTGAAGACGTTTCGCTTCTCATCCAAGAAGCTTCTTCGGCTCTGACTGGGCGGTGGGGAAATGGAAAGATTTATACTCCTTGCACACAGCTGGTCATTTGCATCCTTTTTAGAGAGTCGTTGAGGCCACTTGGAGGTTTATCTGTGTCCTCAGGGTCACCTGAGTAGTGAAAATGGTTTCTGTAGTCTGAAATTTTTCTCTGAAATCCCTTCCTACTCCAACACCATTCAAAGGGTTTCCAGAGGAAAAAAATTGCAGACTACAGGAACGATGGTTTTTATATATGTTTTGTTGTTTAAAAATAAAAAACTTTTTTCAAAAAAAAAAAATCAACGGAATTCAGGAGAGGCTGGATCGGCACCCTTTGTGGCAACATAAAGAATTCCAAGCTGATGATGTGCTTAACTCCACCCTCTAGTCCTGCCTTGCTCTTCTCCTACCGATGACGGTTGAATCTTCAGCTTCTATTTTTGCTACTGAGCAGGAAGGGAGACATAATGGGATAGGTCAACTCCTAACCTTGGACCCCATGAAAATGATTCCCTCTTTCTTTTCTCCCAGGACGCTTGCCAATCCAGATGGGAGAGGAAGATCAGATATGGAGCTTGGTATCTGGACCCAAAGACGTGGAAAAAACAGAATGTGAATGAACCTTTAGAAAACCCAAAAGAGAGCAGCCTCAAGAATTCTAGAAGGCTCTTAAGTGAAGAGGTATGTTGCAAGTTCCTGTTGGGAGGGAGGGAGGGAAGGAAGGAAGGAGGGAGAGGGGGAGCAGGAGGAGGGAAGGGAGGAAGGGAGGAAGAGGAGAAGAAGGAGCAGGAGGAGGGAAGGAAGGAAGAAAGGAAGGAAGGAAGGAAGGAAGGGGCTAATTATGAAGAAATTATGAAGAGGAGAAGAAGGAGCAGGAGGAGGGAAGGAAGGAAGGAAAGGAAGGAAGGAAAGGAAGGAAGGAAGGAAGGAAGGAAAGGAAGGAAAGGGCTTATTATGAAGAGATTATGAGGAGGAGGAGGGAGAGGGGGAGCAGGAGGAGGGAGGGAAGGAAGGAAGGAAGGAAAGGAAGGAAGGAAGGAAAGGAAGGAAGGGGCTTATTATGGAGGAGGGAGGGAGAGGGGGAGCAGGAGGAGGGAAGGAAGGAAGGAAGGAAAGGAAGGAAGGAAGGAAAGAAGGAAAGGAAGGAAGGAAGGAAAGGAAGGAAGGGGCTTATTATGAAGAGATTATGAAGAGGAGGGAGGGAGGGGGAGCAGGAGGAGGGAAGGGAGGAAGGGAGGAAGAGGAGAAGAAGGAGCAGGAGGAGGGAAGGGAGGAAGGAAGGAAAGGAAAGAAGGGAAGGAGGGATGGATGATGAAGAGATTATGAAGAGGAGGGAGGGGGGGAGCAGGAGGAGGGAGGGAGGGGGGGGGGGGGGGAGGGAGGGAGGAAGGAAGGAAGGAAGGAAGGAAGGAAGGAAGGGAAAGAAGGAAAGAGAAAGAGTCCTTATTCTGATTTTTGGATGATTTTTGCAGGATGCCAAGCTCATACACCTTCATGGAACTCACGCTTTCCAGGAATTTCTTGTACAAAAGGGTTATCGGATACCAGAGGTAAACTTCCAATGCCTACCACTCGTCTAGCAGTCAGCCAATCTGTTGGCCTCCAGATGTTTCAGCATTTCTTTAACATTGGTTGCAGCCAGCACAGTCAACACCCCAAATATCTGGAAGGTATCAAGGTGCCATTCTCTGATTCCTAGCCTCTAGTCCTCCTTTTGGTTCAAACGTGTTTGCAAAACCAAAGGGAACCCCTGTTCATTTAGTGACCGACTGTTTCTTTTTCCTGTCTGGTTTTAGACCAGGGCAGCTTTTATTTCCAAATCCCTTGGCCTGCAGCCCTCAACATCCCTACTCAGCTGGTATGTAGGCCAGTGGTGGGTTTCAAATTTTTTTACTACTGGTTCTGTGGGCGTGGCATGGCTTGGTGGGCGTGGCATGCACGTGGCAGGGGAAGGATACTGTAAAATCTCCATTCCCACCCCACTCCAGGGGAAGGTTACTGCAAAATCCCCATTTCCTCCCAATCAGCTGGGACTCGGGAGGCAGAGAATAGATGGGGGTGGGGCCAGTCAGAATTTTTACTACCGGTTCTCCAAACTCCTCAAAATGTCTGCTACCGGTTCTCCGGAACTGGTCAGAACCTGCTGAAACCCCCCTCTGATGTAGGCACAGGTAGTCCTCAACTTATAATCATTCATTTAGGAACCATTTGAAGTTACAGAGACACTGAAAAATGTGACTTATGAGTTACGACGATTTTTCACACTTACGACGGTTGCAGCATCCCCATGGTCACCTGATTAAAATTCAGACGCTTTGAAACGGTTTCATATTTATGAAGTTGCAAAGTTTCGGGCATCCCTTTTGCAACTTTTTGACAAATAAAGTCAAGCCAGATGCACTTAATAACCATGTTACTAACTTGGACAACGGTGGCAAGAAAGGTCAGAAAATGGGGCCAAACTCACTTAACAACCGACTTGCTCCGTTGTGGTCGTAAGTCGAGGACTACCTGTATTGCAGCTTTTGAACAATGCTCCAGAATTTCTGCCTGCTATAATACATAGGATTCTGAATATCAGCTTTTATTTCTAATAGGTTGCTTTCTCAAAATCCCAAGAAATGCTCATTTTTAAAGAAAAGATCTATATACCAAGTTCCCCCCAAAATAAGACCCTGTTTTGAACCCCGAAATAAGCGCTTGGCTTATTTTGGGGCGCGTGGAACAAGATGGGGCTCCTCTTGCCATCTTACCTGATTTCCAGCTCTGTCTCCCTAACCCTAACCAGAGGAAATGGCGGGGACCGGCTTATTTTTGGGGAGGGCTTATTTTTTGGGGGGGGCTTATTTTTAGCGCATGCACTCAAAAGCCCAAATGGGCTTATTATCAGGGGACGTCTTATTTTAGGGGAAACAGTATATATTTTTGGCACTTAAAACTCTATTCTTTTTCCAAGGGGATAAAATTGTGTCCATGTCTCTAAAATTAGTTTGCCTTTTTGTAATAGCAAGTTGCTAAAGTGTAGGTCTTGGTAGGGCTACCAGATCTCCTGGAGATTAGGTAATTGCACCTGAAGAGATTCTGCCTGAAAAAAAAACAGCTCATATTCCCCTTACCAAGCAGGTGACGACCCGAATTGTGATAGTCAGAAAAAGTTCATATTCCAGGAATCTGTTGGGGGGGGGGGACTCTAGATCCTGCTGCCACTTGGAAGCCTCGCGGCCCTTCTATAAGATCAGATTTCTAAAGTCTTTGGGTCAGCAAAAATTGGCTCACCGAAATCTGTTCCTTTCAACAGTTGAGTGAAATTGTATGTTTTGATTCAGTTTTTGCAGCAGATGCTGGAGGAACAGAATGATGTTGAGCCAAAAGTGGGAGGTTTGAAGAACGCCAAGGATGAACCCCAGAAATGCAAAGAGCTCAGAGAAGATTATTCAGCAGTGGTGGGGAACAAATACGAAGACCAAAGAATCCAGTGATCACGAGAACGGAAGCCGACCACAGCTCTGTCTACGATGTTATTTGAATAGGAATTCTTTCTAAGGACATGTACCTGGATGAAATTTTCTGAGCAATACCCGGTGGGGATTCCCTACCTAAATCCTTTGCCGCTTTTTGAAACTGGCTGGAACAGAAGTTGCCTTCAGAAGTTGTGGGAGCTTCATCAATGGAAGCTTTCAAGAAGAGATTCGACTGCCACCTGTCAGAAATGGTGTAGGGTCTCCTGCTTGGGTAGGGTTGGACTAGATGACCTTACCCTTCCAACTCTGTTAATCTGTATTAATCAGAATAAAAGATGTAGTTGGAATCAACAGACCTGCTTGGTACACCTGGGAAAACCCAACAGTCACCCAACAACAGTTTGAATGTTTTCTTTCACCAATTTGTTATTGCTGTCTCTAACCACACCACACACAACTGCTGCTTAGTTGTGTTTCCTCGCCCACAACTGGCAGGAGATCCTGGAGTCTTCAGTCTTATTGCCCCTGCAATATGTCCTTATTGGGCACCCGAAATGGGTTTGTGCTGTGTTGCTTTAACATACAACGTTCTAAAAGTTGTGATTGGGAAAAAATAAAAACATGGATAGTAGAAATAATAGATCAAGAAATTGAATTAGAACCAGAAGTTTCCTTATTAGGCATGATAAAAAGGAATATTAGAAAAGACATAAAATATTTGACACTACACATAATTACTGGCTATAGCACAACTGTGGAAAACAGATTGTATGCCAACAGATCAGGAACTAATTCAAAAAATCTACACATGCGCAGAAATGGATAAATTAACTCTAGAATTAAAAGACAAGGAAGACTCAAAATATTTTATAGTATGGAATAGATGGTATAAGTGGATAAACCAAAGGAAAAAAGGGTAAAGATAAGAATTAGGGGAAATGCAAGTAATAATAATAATAATAAAAGCACTGTCAGATAGATAGAATAGGTAAATAAGTCACTGTTTGTATATTTGTATATATGTGTTTATATAATCACATGTATTTAGTATGTTAGTGTAACTGTGGATTGAAACTGTAAATGTTATGAGTGAGAAAATCTGTATATTTTCTCTTTTTTTCTTGTTAATATTTTTAAATTCAATAAAGTTTGTTTTTTAAAACCAAAAAAAAAAAAGTTGTGATTGTTGGTTCCCTCTAATAAAATTCTGCCCCTATCCTAACTATGTGAGGCGAGTTTCCAATCCTCCCGACAACCACAATAAATTTGTAGGGTGGGAGAACAAATGAACAACCAGATGGAAAAGGCTATGGAGACTCTCAGTCCTTCAGGTCATGGTTGTCCCAAAGGAGCTTTTTTCAGGAGGCAACTGGACTTTCTGGGTTTTTCTCTTTGAAGACGTTTCGCTTCTCATCCAGGAAGCTTCTCCAGCTCAAACTGAATGATTCCCCACCATGCAGTCAGAGCTGAAGAAGCTTCTTGGATGAGAAGTGACATGTCTTCAAAGAAAAACCAGAAAGTCCAGTTGCCTCTTGGACAAGCAACTTTGGGACAATCAGATAGAAAAGAGTGGCTCCCCCAGAAGACCAGGAGAACCTAATTAGATCCACAGGTTCACTGCTGTGGGAGATATCATTCTAAGCAGATTCCTCCATTCCCACCACAATCTTACATTGTCCACATTGGCATCTTAAACTGGAATAAAGGGGGGGGGATTTGGGAGTTATAGGTTACAATGAGCACCCAGCTTACCAGGATCAACTCCAAAATATTTTGATGGAGCACTGGCCTTTGAAGAATATTTATTTACTTAATTTCCTGCCTTTATTATTTTATACACAGATACATATACAAAGTCAAGGCAATGAACATATCTAATCATTCTTTTTCTTCCTATTTTGCCCACAACAACCATTGGGCTGAGAGATTGATTGGCCCAAAGACACCCAGCTTCATCTCATGGTTGAGGTGGAACTAGAATTCACAGTCTCCTGGTGATTGGCCTAAAGACACCCAGCTGCATTTCATGGCTGAGGTAGAATTAGAATTCACAGTCTCCTGGTGACTGGCTCAAAATCCTCCAGCTGCGTTTCATGTGTAAGGCAGGGCTAGAACTCACTGTTTCCTGGTGACTGACCCAATGTTACCCAATTGGCTTTCATGTCTAAGATGAGACTAGAACTCGCCGGGGTGGGATTCAAAAATTTTAGCAACTGGTTCTCTGCCCAGTTGCTACTCGGCCTCCTGTACTGCGTTTTCACCCACTCCAGGCTCTGGAGGCTTTCTTTGAGCCTCCGGGAGGACAAAAATGGCCTCCCCCGGGCTCTGGAGGCCCTCTGGAGGCCGAAAACGGGCCTGTTTCTGGACTTCGGGGAGGCCCATTTTTCATCCTCCCAGAGCCTCCGTGCGGGCCCTGCATTTACCTGGCATCCAAAATGGGCCTCATGGAGACTCCTGGGGGGTGAGGGGCGGGGTGGGCGGGGCCAGCCGGTCCTTGCAACTACAAGATGTAGTTTACAAGATGTAAAATTAGCATCCTATTCGCCCAAACCAGTACGAACCGGCTGAATCCCATCCCTGAACTCACCGTCTCCCACTTTCAAGCCTGGCGCCTTAACCGTAAACCAAACTGATTCTTTATGCCGCTTTTATAGCAGTGAGAAATCTAACTCAAAAAGTTGAATTCCAATGAAACGACTGTCGCTTTCTTGAAATATTATTTTTATTGATGACATGCAATGAATGAAAAGGGTAAGTACAGAATGCAGATAATAAGGGGAAAGGGGTTTAAATCGGAAGAAGCGTGAGGAAGAAATCAAGGGGGAGCATTCTGCTGATGCAGAGGAAAAGATGGACAACTTTTAAATGTTTTTTTCAGCATTCAGAGCAACGGGGGGATGTCTACACCAAAGACTTAAGATGGCTACTCTCTTCCACCCAGGAGGACCGTGCTTCCAAGAGAAAGATCTGAAGTAAGATCCCTCAGGAAATTCTCACAGCAGCCAAGCCAAACGACAATTCCCGGGATCCTTTGGGAGAATATCGAATGTTCATTTGAGCTCTTTCTCCCCCTTCTTAATTGTATAACTTTTTAGTCCATGGATCAATACAGATGCCCAAAATGGCGGGGAGAAAGGAAGGAGTGGAGGTGGTCCTTGCACATTTGAAGCTTGGGATATGTAACTGCCTCCAGCACCATCCCGAAATGAGATGTGGAAGCAATCACTGGCATAATAAGGACCAACGGGCATTATCTGTGGTGTAGACATGCTCACAACGCTCAACAAAACACAACAGCTGTGTGGTCTAATCCGGATAGCAGGATTCAGGAGTTAGGGCTGTCTGAATGGTCGACGTTTTCCCCTTGTGGCTGAACAAGGCAGAAGCCGTGTAACACTTATTCCGGTCGTAGGTGTAACAGGGTTCCTGAGGATGACCACATAAAGTGCTTGAGCCGAACGTCACTCCCTTTACAGTTCTCGGGGGGTCATTGCATTTGTCACAGCTGGAACAAAAGACGGGAAGAGAAATGTTAAGCCCAGGCGATGAAAAAATATCACGGAAATATCAATCAAGCTTCCCGTCTGTTGTCGAAAGTGCAAAATCATTTTTATAAAATTTCATTCACTTGCTAAGCGAATGAAATTCTGTAAAAAGCATCTTGCCAGCAGCTCCTGCCTTGGTCTTTATTCATAGGAGAAGAAAGCTTAAATTTGCTCTAGGAGCAGTGGTGGGAGTCAAATAATTTAACAACCGGTTCTCTGCCCTAAAGACCAGCTGGGTGGGTGTGGCCATGGTGGGCGTGGCCAGGGGTGTGTGACAGGCAGCGCTTGGCCTCCTGCACCCACCCCCGGGAGCAAAAACAGGCCGCAGGGGGGGACGAGCCACCCTCCCGCACCCCATTTGGGCCTAGTAGGCCTCCCTGCAGCCTCCTGGGAGTGAAAATGGGCCATGGGGGTGGCTGCGCTGCACCCTTCGCATCCTGTGGGTCTCTCACACTTACCTGACAGCCAAAATGGGGCACATGGGGACTCCTGGAAGGGGTGGGGAGGGGAGGGGCAGGGCCAGCCAGCAACTTAACTATCGGTTTGCCCAAACCGGTTCAAACCGGCTGAATCCCACCACTATTTAGGAGTATATAGGGAGTCCTTCAGTTAGGACTGCAATTGAGCTCAAAATTTCTGTTGCTAAGTGAGACAGTTGGTAAGTGAGTTTCACCCCATTGTACAACCTTCCCTGCCACCGTTGTTAAGTGAATCACTTATTTGTTAAATTAGTCACACGGTTGTTAAGTGAATCTTGACCACGTGACCATGGGGATGTTGCAACAGTCGTGAGTGTGTAACAATAATCATTCTAAGTCACTGTTTTCACTGCTGTTGTAGCTTCGAACAGTCACTAAACAAAAGATTATAAATCGAGGATTACCCGTATTACCTTCTGATTGGTCAGAAAAGAATGACAGGTAGTCCTCGACTTACGACCTCAAAATTGAGCCCAAAATTTCTGTTGTTAGGCAAGGAGACATTGGTTGAGTAATTTTTGCTCCATTTTACGACCTTTCTTGCCACAGTTGTTAAGTGAAGCACTGCCGTTGTTAAGTTAGTAATACGGTTGTTAGGTGAACCTGGTTTCCCCATTGACTTCGGTGGCTCAGAAGGTCGCAAAAGGGGATCGCATGATGCAAGATCCTGTGCTATTGCAACTGTCATAAATACGAGTCAGTCGTCAAGCATCTGAATGGAAATCATGTGACCATGGCTTAATAAATAAATAAACAATGAATAAAGGTTTGGGTGACGTTTGAACCACAAATAACAGAAAGTCCCGAAAGGGGCTTTTTTCCAAAAGGCAACTGGATTTCGTTTTTCCTTGAAGTCGTTTCGCTTCTCCTCCAAGAAGCTTCTTCGGTTCTTCAGATGAGAAGCGAAACGTCTTCAAGAAAAACCAAAACCCAGCTGCCTTTTTGGAAAAAAAGCACCTTTGGGACAATCGTGACTTGGAGGACTGAGAATCTCCATAGAAAAAAGAAGAGAAAGGCTTACAGCTTGGAGATCTGGTAGACAAATTTCGTTCTCACGGGTGAGGTGGGATCAGAAATGTTCTCCCTGGCGTTGAGGGGAATCCTGTAAAAAAGGACATAATAAAAAAAAATTGACTGCATATTAGTTTGTTTGTTCTCATGAAACGCAACAGGAATCTTTATTTGTGTTGTGGTCCGACAGCAGCCTGAGGAGCTGGCAGCCGAGTCGGACAGTGAGGAGGCTGGGGAGGAACATGGGCCAGTCCTGGAGTCTGGCGAAGGCCCGGACGAGAGCTCTGCGTCGGAGGCAGAGATGGAGCCAGGGCCATCTGGGAATTATGCGCGGACTCTGGAGCCCCCAGAGTCAGTACTGGAAACGGTAGAAAAGAGGGCCTCCGAAGCCTGGGGAGGCCATTTTTGCCCTCTCAGAGGCTCGAGGAAAGCCTCTGGAACCCAGGGAGGACAACCACCACCACCCCCGTGATGCAGGAGGCCGACTAGGCCACACCCACCATGGCCACACCTACCCATAAACCAGGCAGAGAACCCCTTGCTAAAATTTTTGAAGCCCATCCCTGGGTATGGGTGAGCTCAGGTTGTCCCCGCTTGCTCCAGAAGGTCTCTTGTCCTTGCGTGCCTCCATTCCTTTTGTCTTTTGACGTCCTTCAAAAACGCAAAATGCAGAGGGAAGACAAAGCATCACTTACATGATACGGATGTTCCTCTCCAGGACTTTTTCTTCAGGGTTCTCTTTATCTGGAACAAATCTGGATGTCACCTTTACACACTGGCACTTGTTGTCCACCAGAACTTTCTCGTCATCTTCCTCCTGCCAGTAAGCTGAAAACAAATAAACGAATCGCGTTGGAAACGAAGCAAGGAGAGAAGCAAGCTAGAACTAAGGAGAAATTGCATTAGAACAATGAATTGATGGAACGTTGTTGTTTTTTTTCTCCTCCAGAAGTTGTGGGTGCTTCAACAATGGAGGTTTTCAAGAAGAGATTGGACAACCGTTTGTCTGAAATGGTCTAAGGTCTCCTGCTTGAGCTGGGGGTTGGACTAGAAGACCTCTAAGGTCCCTACCAACTCTGCCATTCTGTTATTCAAATAAAGTGCGTCAATAAGAGTGTAAGAAATGAGAACGTTCTTTAATAATGCCTTTTAATCCGGGGTTTGATTTGAATCACGTGTGTGTCCAACAGTTATGAGACATCAAAGCTGGCTGAAAGAGAAGTTGGCCTATTAATAATATTGAGAAATGCATCTGAAAAGGGCCGGAAGCTAAATTTAGGATAGGTGCAAAGGGAACCGAAAACTTTCAAGGTGCATTTTCAGACACAAGGCAGGATTTTGCAAGCTCATCTTTCGTTGGCAAACGAAGGCTTTGAAATTAGCTGAGTCACCTCTTTTTCTCGACGCTTTGTGCAATGCTGGCTGGGTATGTGAATATGGCATCCCCCCCCAGATGAGCCAATCATATATTAATACATCGTCCAAAGCGAAGCCTCGTCGTCTGGAGTTCCAACTTTGATTCCAAATCAAGGTTCTCACATTCTAACGGACCCAAAAGGCGGTACCTGCGTAGACTTAATCAGAGACGTTCTCTAGAACAGGGGGTCTCCAACCTTGGCAACTTTCAGACTTGTGGACTTCAACTCCCAGAATTCAACTTCAACTCCCAGAATTCAACTTCAACTCCCAGAATTCCTCAGCCAGCAAAGCAAAGCTGGCTGAGGAATTCTGGGAGTTGAAGTCCACAAGTCTGAAAGTTGCCAAGGTTGGAGACCCCTGCTCTAGAACCTTCCTCTGTTGAGGCTTCTGAATGCAGAATGCGTGCAACCTCCTAAAAACTTGTGGGTCGCCTGTAGTTCTAAAGCTGCATTTGATTTGGGGGGGGGTGCTAATTTCATCTTGATGTTGCCCTAATGTCAAACACCACCCCACCACCCCGGTTACATGTAGCTCCTTCCCTGGAAGCTGCTATGTGTGTGAGAAAGAAGGGAAGGGAGGGAGGGAGGAAGAGAGAAAGAGGGAGGGAGGGGAGAGGGAGAGGGAGGGCCAAAAGAAAATAGACTTTATTAAAAGAATGGCTGCCCCACACTCAGGCTATCTCCCTGATTCAGCCCTATTTATTGTGTGCCCCAACAGAGAAGGAGGGAGGGAGATGGGGGAGGAAGGGGAGAGGGAGGGAGGGAGGAAGAGAGAAAGAGAGAAAGAGAGAGGGAGGGGAGAGGGAGAGAGAGGGCCAAAAGAAAATAGACTTTATTGAAAGAATGGCTGCTCCACACTCAGGCTACCTGCCTGATTCAGCCCTATTTATTGTGTGCCCCACAACAGGGAGGGAGGGAGGGAAGGAGATGGGGAGGAAGGGGAGAGGGAGGAGGGAGGAAGAGAGAAAGAGGGGGGAGAGGGGAGAGGGAGGACCAAAAGAAAATAGAATTTACTAAAAAAATGGCTGACCCACACTCAGGCTTCCTGCCTGATTCAGCCCTATTTAATGTGTGCCCCCCCCAACAGGGAGGGAGGGAGATGGAGGAGGAAGGGGAGGGGGAGGGACAGAGGGAGAGAGAGGGAGGGAAGGGAGAAGGAGGGAGGGAAGGAGAGCACTAAAAGAAAATATAATTTATTAAAAGAATGGCTGCCCCATACCTGAATCAGCCCTATTTAATGTGTGCCCCCCCAACAGGGAGGGAGGGAGATGGAGGAGGAAGGGAGGGGGAGGGACAGAGGGAGAGAGAGGAGGGAAGGGAGAAGGAGGGAGGGAAGGAGACACTAAAAGAAAATATAATTTATTAAAAGAATGGCTGCCCCATACCTGAATCAGCCCTATTTAATGTGTGCCCCCCCCAACAGGGAGGGAGGGAGGGAGATGGGGGAGGAAGGGGAGATGAAGGAGAGAGAGGGAGGGAAGAGAGAAAGGGAGGGAGGGAGGAAGAGAAAAAGAGGGAGGGAGGGAGGGACAAAGGAAATATAATTTACTAAAAGAATGGCTGCCCCACACTCAGGCTTCCTGCCTGATTCAGCCGTATTTATGGTGTGCCCCCCAACAGGGAGGAGGAGGGAGGGAGAGAAATGGGGCAGGGAGGAGAGAGGGAGGGAGGGAGGAGAGAGAAAGAAAGAGAGAGGGAGGGAGGGAGGAGGAAGAGAGGACTAAAAGAAAACAGAATTTATTAAAAGAATGGCTGCCCTACACTCACGCTTCCTGCCTGGCTCAGCCCTATTTAATGTGTGACCCCCCACCCCCAACAGTTTACTTGAGAGGGAGGGAGGGAAATGGAGGTGGGGGGGTCAAGACTGACTCGCATGAATGAGGCACAATTGAAAAAAGATGAGCCATCTCCATCGTTGTCCAGATAGGTCAGTCAAAGGCTGGACTTTCTTTAAAAGCCTTTTTCCCCCCTCTAAATTGACAAGTCTGGTGTGTGTGTGTGTGTGTGTGTATATGTGTGGATGTTTTCATCTTTTCATTTTTCCCCCCCCAAGGCCATTAACATCCGTTGGACTTTCTCCTGGGAGATACCATGATGGGGAAACCTTCAACTTGTTGCGTTGACTGTTACTTAGTCCCTATGATACAAAAAAAAAGATGCTGAGAGTGCAGAGAAGAGCAACAAAGATGATTAGGAGGCTAAACCACACGATGAAAAATTGAGGGAGCTACATATGCCTATCCAAGGAAGGATTAGGCTATGATACAGTGGTGGGATTCAGCCAGTTTGCACCTATTCGGGAGAACCGGTTGTTAACTTTCTAAGCAGTTCGGAGAAGCGTTGTTGGAAGAAATCTTATTTTGTTTTTTTTCCCCACTTTACAGGGCTAATCCTGTAAAGAAGGCAGGAAGGAAATGTTCTGGTGTTGTTTCTAGCCTAATCTTTATTGCCCTGCTTACCGAAACTGCCTCTCTGGTTACCCCTTATTACATTGTAACAGTGAGTGACATTGAGTTGGCCATGCCAACACAATCACATAACCAACGAGCCACACCTACCCAGCTGGTCATTAGGGCAGAGAACTGGTTGTTAAATTATTTGAATCCCACCACTGCTATGATATGATAGCAGTGTCCCAATATTTGAGGGGCTGTCCCAGAGAAGAGGGGATTGGCTTATTCTCCAAAGTGCCTGAAGGCAGGACAAGAAGTAACAAGTAGAAGATCACTAAAGAGAGATCCAGCCAACCTAAAACTAAGGAGAAATTTTCTGATGGTGAGAAGAATTAATCAGTGGAGCGACTTGACTCCAGAAGTTGTGGGTGCTCCATCAGTGGAGATCTTAAGAAGAGATTGAACAGATTTGTCCAGAATGGTATAGATAGAATCTCCTGCCATGGGCAACAGGTTGGACTAGAAGACCTCTAAGGTCCCTCCAACCCTATTTATTCTATGTTCTAGTTTTCAATTTTGAGGTTTCCAGAATTCCTTTACGTAAAAGGGTGCAGCTCTGTTAACAACTGCATACTTTTCTGTTTCTCCCTTTCGCACAAGGTTGTACAAACATCTGATATCTACCCATCTGCACATTTCTAAAGAGTTTTTGCAAAAAGCAGAAAAATGCATTTATTATTTCAGGTTTTTATGATTAGAAAAAAACTGGATTATACAAAAAACTGTTAGGGTTTTTTTTTTTTTGGTATTCAAAAATCTATAAAATATTCTGCATGAGAGATCATTCTGTAATTGTATTTATGTTGGTTGCAAAGGAAATTGGAACCTTCTTTTTATTTTTTTTCCTTTTGATTCTTTCTTTCTACACTTTCGCTTTTCTTTCTTTTCTTTTTTTTTCTTTACTGTTTCTCCTCTGTGGTTAATTTGTCTTTTATTGTGTTTTGTAAAACTTTAATAAAACAGTTATATTAAAAAAATTAAATGTTCATCCATCTGGGTTGCTTTTCCAATTCCAGCTTCTGCATTTAGTCACCCTTCTAAACTTTTGGGGGGAGTTAAGAAATGCAACGAAGGGTGTTTTTAACAGAAATGAGTTCTAACAGAAGTCTGAAAAAAAGACACATCCACAGGGAGGATGGTAAAATATCGAAAGATATTGAAATTCACAAGGCAAAAGTGATATACTCCACCTGTCTAAGTAAGAAGGAAGGAGAACTTCACAATTTAGGTTATCCCATAAAATCAAACTTAAAAGTTTTGTTAGGATCAAGCATCTTGGGATTGTTATTTTAAAGCATAGCTATGAAAATGTAAGGAATGAAATTTTTTAAACGTACAAAATACCGGAATGCTAATTTTATTGCATTAAAAGTATTTAAATTAGGTGTCAGTCTCCATCTTCCCCCATCACTTTGAATCAGGATAAAATAAAGAATTTGGTCCCACATTTAACAAACAGCAACCTTTTTAAATGCAAGAAATACCAGAGTGCTCATTTTTATTGAATTAGAAGTAGTTAATGAATATTTGTACGTGTACCCTCTTCCTCCCATCACTTTTAAATCAGGATAAAATAATTAATTTTATTCCAACATTTCTTGCTTTTAACAAATAACCGTTATTAATTCCCCAACATTTTAAATGAGGATAAAATAAGCATTTTATTCCAACATTTCTTACTTTTACCAAATAGCAACCAGTAAAACTTTTTAAAATGCAAGAAATGCTGGAATGCTCATTTGGCTGAATTAGTTGATGAATATTTTTATGTGTACCGTTTTCCCCCCATCACTTTTAAATCATGATAAAATAAGTTATTTTATTCCAGAATTTCTTACTTTTAACGAATAGCCATTATTATCCCTACATCACTTTAAAGCAGGATAAAATAAGCATTTTATTCAAGCATTTCTTAATTTAACGAATAATCTTTATTGTGCTCTGTCGGTAATGCAAAGTAAAGTTTTACAACTGAAATTATAAACTCTTAAGATTATAGAAAGTTTCTACAAATTGAGCAGTTTTATCTGTCTCTCCATCATCTATCTATTTATCCATCCATCCATCCATCCATCATCTATCTATCATCTATCTATCTATAATATATCTATCCGTCTATCTGTCTGTCATCTATCGTCTGTCTGTCTATCATCTATTGTCTGTCTATCTATCTATCTATCTATCTATCTATCTATCTATCTATCTATCTGTCGTCTATCATCTGTCTATCTATCTATCATTTGTCTATCTATCTGTCATCTACCATCTGTCTGTCTATCATCTATTGTCTGTCTATCTATCTATCTATCTATCTATCTATCTATATCTATCTATCTATCTATCTGTCATCTGTCTGTCTATCTATCTATCATCTGACTGTCTATCTATCAATCATCTATCATCTGTCTGTCTGTTTATCTATCTATCATCTATTGTCTGTCTATCTATCTATCTGTCTATCTATCAATATCTATCTGTCTGTCTATCTGTCATCTGTCATCTGTCTGTCTGTTTATCTATCATCTATTGTCTATCTATCTATCTGTCTATCAATATCTATCTGTCTGTCTATCTATCTGTCATCTATCATCTGTCTGTCTATCTATTATCTATTGTCTATCTATCTGTCTATCTGTCTGTCTGTCATCTATATCTATCTATCATCTGTTTATCTATCTGTCATCTATCATCTGTCTGTCTGTTTATCTATCTATTATCTATTGTCTGTCCATCTATCTGTCCATCTATCATTATCTATCATCTGTCTGTCTGTCTATCTGTCATCTATCATCTGTATGTCTGTCTATCTATCTTTCATCTATTGTCTGTCTGTCTATCCATCTATATCTATCATCTATCTATCATCTGTCTGTCTGTCTATCTGTCATCTATCATCTCTCTGTCTGTCTATCAGTCATCTATCTATCATCTGTCTGTCATCTATCTATCTATCTATCTATCTATCTATCTATCTATCTATCATCTATCAACATTCCTTATTTGGTAATACAGTTGGGAAAAGATACACACTCTTATTTTTACTAAATTACTGTTAAAAAGTCCCCTATAAACCACACCAAGAGATGAATACGGTATATCAGATAAAACAATGCCCGTATGTGGGTGTGGGCTCATACACATGCACCCACATCCCTACCTTACAGTATTTTAAACCATCTAGCAAAATATATTAAGCCTCCTATACCAGGATTATTTATTTTTTTTTAAAAAGTCTCCTAGGAGACTTATTCAGAGATGGACGTGCCAGTTAAAACAATGGGCAATTTCCCACCCACCCCTGGGCTGCATGAACAATTCTGCCGGGATTTCTCTTGATCAATTTCACTTACCAGTCGCCAGAACTAGGCTGCAAAAAATGATCCCAATTCCATAGATCAGCCAAGAAGTTTTCATCTTTAAGTCTTGGATTCGGGTGTGCTCCCTGCTGTATGCTCCTCAACAAGGAAGGTGTGTGTGCGTGGAAGTGTTACACACACCAGTTTTTTTTTTTCTCCCTGAAAGATCAAAGCTGATTACAGGCGAGATGCACTGAAGGCTGTGAGTAGACACTGTGAAACCACAATCTATGGTCGGTTTACTAATCAAAAAAGAAACCTCCCCGTTCTTTGAAAGCTGGACTAGACGGGAGCGTTTTCTCTTCCCTACTTCATTCAGGTTTTTTATTCATATCGATAGTAGTTTTGAGCATTGAGAGAGACACACATAATATAAATGGCAAAATATGCAACATAAAACGCGTGAGGTTAGAAATGAGCTATGAGCAAATTGTGATCCTCTAGGACAGTGGTCACTGACTGTTTGTTTGTTTGTTTGTTTGTTTATTTATTTATTTATTTATTGGTTCGATTTATATGCCGCTCTTCTCTGGAGACTCAGGGCAGCTTACAATGCGTTAAGCAATAGCCTTCATACTTTTGTATATACCTGCTTAGTAGGTGTTCTTTTTTATACAAAGTCAGCTTATTGCCCCCACAATCCGGGTCCTCATTTTACCTACCTCGAAAGGATGGAAGGCTGAGTCGACCTTGAGCCTGGTGAGATTTGAACTTGCAGTAATTGCAGGCAGCTGGTGTTACTTAACAGCACTTTAGTCTGCTGCGCCACCAAGGTTCTCTGTTGCTGCAGAGAGTCTCCCCCTTCGGGGTCTTTTTGTGTGGGGCAGAAATTCCAACTTGGGATCTGCTTCGGCCTCCTGGTGTGGGGCTTTGGGCGAAGGCTGGAGGGAGGCGCCACTGTTGGCGAAGAGCCAGAGGACTTTGTTCTGACTGGGCATCTCAGCCCGCTGAGCCTCCCGGCGCTGGTCCCTGGCCTTGCACTCCCACAGATGTTCCATCTGCTTGGAAAGCCTATGCTCCTAGTCCTGAGTGAGGTGCTTTTGCTGAGCCTCCTTCTCGGTCAGATCCAATTTGAACTGAGCTGTTTAGCCAACACTTTCTCGTGGTGGTTACTTAGCTCCAACAACTAATTCCTGTTGGGGCCCTAAGGAGCCCGGGCGGACAGGCGAGGAATGGCTGGGAGAGGAGGAGTGAGTAGAGGCCGGCGAGGCGCCCCTCGACATGAGTGACATTGAATTGGCCACGCCCACCCAGTCACATGACCACCTAGCCACGCCCACCCAGCTGATCATTAGGCAGATCGTATTAGCGGTCCACAGAATTTAAAATTATGAATTTAGTGGTCCCTGAGGTCCAAAAGGTTGGGGACCCCTGCTCTGGGAGAGTGTTTTTCAAACTTGGCAGCTTTAAGAGATGTGGATTTCAACTCCCAGAATTCCCCAGGAGTTGAAATCCACTTCTCTTAAAGTTGTCAAGTTTGAAAAACGCTGCTTTTGGAACTCAACAAATTGATGTTGCCTAGTACAGGTAGTCCTCAACTTACAGCAATTCATTTAGTGACCGCTCAAAGTTACAACATCGCTGAAAAAAATGACTTATGACCGTTTTCCATACTTACAACCGTTACAGCATTTCCCGTGGTCACATGATCAAAATTCAGAGGCTTGGCAACTGCCTCATAGTTACGACGGCTGGAGTGTCCTGCGGTCATGTGATCCGCTTTTGCGACCTTCTGACCAAGCAAAGTCAATGGGGAAACCCGATTCACTTAACAACCGTGTTACTAATTTAACAAATGCAGCGATTTACTTAACAACTGAGGCAAAAAAAGTCGTAAAGTGGGGCAAACTTCCTTAACAAATGTTTTACTTAGCAACATAGAGTTTGGGCTCAATTGTGGTCATAACTCGACGACTATCTGTACTGCTATACTCCCTGGGAATTTAATTTTTTCTGGAATAGATACTATCGCTGAGAGACCACTGGGGCATAAATAGAATATCCTAGTAGTTTTCAGCTAATATAAAAAGACACCAATTTCCAATGGGATAGTTAATAATGCCTGTTATAGTTATAGATGGTTCCATTATTCTTTTACAGCAGAAACCACAAACCAATTGTGGCGTCTTAATTTTTTAAAAAAACAACCCTTCATAATGATAAATTGTTATCACGTGAAGGTTTTCTAAATCATTCTCTGCTTCTACAGCCTCTTGTAGAAGGGATGACATGATAGCAGTCAATTCCAATATCTGAGGGGCTGCCACAAAGAAGAAGAGGGAGTCAAGCTGTTCTTTGAAGTACCTGAAGGCAGGACGAGAAGCAATGGATGGAAATTAACCGAGGAGAGAAGTAAAGCTGAAGTAAACCTGACAGTAAAGAAAAATTTTCTGTCAGTGAAAATAAAACAGTGGAACAAAAAAACCTTCAGAGGTTTTTTTTTTAGAAGAGGTTGGACCACCAGGTATAGGATTCCTGCCTGAACAGGGGGTGGACTAGAAGACCTCCAAGGTCCCTTCCAACTCTATTAAATGTGTGTGTGTGTATAAGAGAGAGAGAGAGAGAGAGAGAGAGAGAGAGAGAGAGAGAGAGAGAGAGAGAGAGAGAGAGAGAGAGAGAGAGAGAGAGTGTATAAAGTATATACTAGGGATCTGCAACCTTAAACACTCAAAGAGCCATTTGGATCCGTTTCCCACAGAAAAGAAAACACCGGGAGCCACAAAACCAATCCCGTGCCTGACTATTTCTTGAGCGGCCACAAAACTAGCATGTGTAGTTGAATTAAACCTTCTGTTTTCTTCTGAAACTTTTCTTTTCTTGGAGTTATCCATGGCTGGCCTACCGGGGGTTGAAAAGCTCAATAAATCGCGTGCCGGTGGGTGTCGCACATTGGCGGTTGTGATGCATATTTTGAGTGACAGGGAGCCGTAGCAGAGGGGTGAAAGAGCCACATGCGGCTCCAGAGTCACAGGTTGCTGACCCCTGTTATATACACTCAACATACGTGTGTATAAAGTATACACACCCAATCTCTGTGTGTGTGTGTGTGTAGGGGAAGAGACAGGAAAGAGAAAAATGGGTGGGGGGGAAAGATGGCAGTTACAAAGACAAGCTGTGACACAGCTATTCTTGCATCGGCTAGCAAATTCACATGAATCCTGTGGTGAAGGATGCAATGGTTTTATTTTTATTAGAATAAACTGTTGCGGACAGCACAAAGACAGTAATTTCTAACTAGATTTCAAGCTGCCTTTTTCAGTCCTTCAGCTGTACGGTTCGGGGCCTTAACTGCCTTCAAGCACCCACGTAAAAACACCCACTTTCTGACCACAGTTTGATTTCTAAAGAATAAAGTTTCAGTTCCTTTGTTGGTTGTGTAACCACAAAAGGGCTATTTTGCCGAGGACGCCCCCAACTGAATTTTCAAACCAAGACTTCGAAGTAATATATTATTAGCATCAGGTGGGATGTCTTGGTCTCTTCTTCGGAAAAGGCCAGCGTAACACAGCTACCCACGACTAACCACAACTGGACTGATGGCCAAATATGCCTTTTTCAGGCTCGTGCCTCGACGTGTATATTTTCCAATGAGACAAACCGAGATGGGAAGATCATTTTATTACAATTTATCAGAATATTCCGACAAAAGGGATTCCTCGTTCCAAGAGGGAACCCCGATCTTTTGCTTACATCCCCTTTTATAGTTAACATAACAAAGAAATCTGAAAGAGGGAAGTTGATTGGACAGGATAATAGCATACATGTTTATTAAAATGAGGTCTGAAGGGCAGTAGCGGGTTTCAATTAAGGTCACTACTGATTTGCTTGCGGGCGCGGGCATTCTTACACGCGGGCATGCATACTCGCACACGTGTGTGCACTCACACGTGACGCTTCTGCGCATGTGCAGAAGCTTCAACGCATGCGCAGAGACGTCTGGCCGGGTGGGCGGAACCTCTCGCTGCGGGCGCTACCAGTTCGCCCAATCCGGGGTGAACCGGTAGCAATCCACCACTGCTGAAGGGGAATAAATTGTAAGGAGAAAGGTTGTTTAGGGTTCACAAAAGAGATAAGCCAGACCCTAATTTGTACTAACAAACTTTTCTTATCAGGAGCTAGTCTCCAGCTTGTTTATAAGTTTAGGAATGTTAAAAGCTAATAAATCTTGAACATCACTTTAAAAGAAAGAATATAAATCAGATTAAAATACAAAATAACTATGTTAGTTAATAAATTACAAAACCCATGTTATTTGCCCCTCAGGATCCAACATAGTATACAAAGCAAGGCTTAAACCCCAAAGAAAGATATGATTATTATATTTCCACTAAGTTAAAAGCAGCCAAAGGGCAGAGAGGGTGTGACATGGACAGAAATTGCAGATCTTAGGGGAAAAGGAGTTTAAAAAAATATCCTCAACTTACGACCAGAATTGAACCCAAAATTTCAGCTGCTAAGCAAGAAAGTTGTTAAGTGAGTTTGGTCCCATGTTACGACATTTCTTGCTGCCATTGTTATGTGAATCACTGCGGTTGTTAAATCAGGACCCTGGTTGCTAAGTGAATCCGGCTTCCCCGTTGACTTTGCTCGTCAGAAGGTTGCAAAAAGGGGTCGCATGACCCAGGGACACCGCAATCGTCATAAATATGAGCCAGTGGCCAACCATCTGGATTTTGATCACATGACCATGGGGAGGCTGCCACGGTTTTGTGAAAAAGGGTCAGAAGTACTTTTTTTTTCAGGGCCGTTGAATGGTCACTATATGAATGGTTGTTAAGGCAAGGACAAACTGAAGCGACAAGAAGCTGACAGTCCATGGAGAGTTTACAGGGAGCACAAGTACCGTGTTTCCCTGAAAATAAGACTAGGTTTTATATTAATTTTTGCTCCAAAAGACTCATTAGGGCTTATTTTCTGGTTAGGTCTTATTTTTGGGGAAATACGGTACTAAATGCATCCATGTGGCTGACAATCTTAAGGTAAAGGTTCCCCTAACACATACTGTATGTGCTAGTCGTTCCCGACTCGTTCCCGTTTCAAAGCCGAAGAGCCAGCGCTGTCCAAAGACGTCTCGGTGGTCATGTGGGCGGCATGACTAAACGCCAAAGACGCACAGAACGCTGTTCCCTTCCCACCAAAGGTGGTCCCTATTTTTCTACTTGCATTTTTTACCTGCTTTCGAACTGCTAGGTTGGCAGAAGCTGGGATAAGTCACGGGAGCTCACCCCGTTACACGGCAATAGGGATTCGAACCGCTGAACTGCCGACCTTTCGATC